ATGCATATATTTATATATTAAATATATACATATTTAAATCCAAATATCCAAAACTAACAAAAGCCTAATAATTGTAAAATTTTATGTAAAACCTTGGGGCTTCCCTAATTTATACCGAAGAATTAACCTTTTATAAAAGTAAGCACAAATATACTCTAACATTTTCTGAGTGGCTATTTGGAGCCAGTATTCACTTATTTGTTTGGCCCTATACTAAACAGATATATGAAGGAACCAAGAGTCCAATGGTCAGACTACCATCCGACTAAGGCAAACTGCTCTTCATTATAAAGATGGGAAATAAATTAGGGTCAGGCAGATAGCTTGAACAGGATAGGTCAGAGTTTTTAATTATTAAAAAATACTCAGAAATAAAGTTGGTCAAACAGAAGGGTCAGATTAGAGAAAGTCTTAAATGAGGCATTTGCATCTTATGTGCTAAGAAATAAAGACTGCTGGAGTTTTTGAGCAGAATAATGGCATGTTCATTGAAGAGTCAATGGAGTAGAATATCATCTCCAAAGCCAAAATGCCTTTTTGAATCTTGATCTTATCACGAATTAGTTGTGTAATCTTTGGAAAGTTACTTAAGTTCTCCCAAGTCTTAGTTTCCCTATCTATAAAAAGAGAACTGTTATGAAGATGAAATGAAATAATATAGGCTAAGTGCTTAGCATAATGCCTGCCACATATTAACAACGTAATGGATGCTATTCCCTCTAAATTAACATGACCAAAATATGTAGGCTGACGAAAGGCTAACTGGAATTAGAAGGATGGCAGCAGAAATTTGGAAGAATTAGATATAAGACCCATTTGAAAAAAGACCTGACGACTGTCAGAATGTAAGATTTCAGAGAGAGAGAGAGAGAATGAGAATTGTTTACTTTGGGTGCTTAGTATCTAGTCCCTTTCCCAAGCTTGGGGAATTTTCCACTGTATGTGTGAGCCTTTATGGGAAGCAGGAACTCATCTCCTAGAAAGCTGAAAAGACAGATACACATTTTCCTTGCCATGTACCAAGGCAAGTTTCCTTGCCTTTCCATGTACCAAGTTTGAGTTAAAAGCTGAGCAGCATGACTTATAATCCTTGTGGGAAGGAGGGGGGAGGGATAGCATTAGGAGATATACCTAATGTAAGTGACGAGTTAATGTGTGCAGCACACCAACATGGCACATGTATACATATGTAACAAACCTGCACGTTGTGCACATGTACCCTAGAACTTAAGGTATCATAATAATTTAAAAAGCTGAGCATCAAATAGATATTTCATACAAGTTGGAAATATGAGAATAAAATCAAAGTGAGAGTATTATACATAAATATAGAGATAACAGTTAAAGCCTTGAAAAGGAGAGAAAAAGATAGAGGGAGGAGAGTGCTAGTAATGACTCTACAAAAGCTAGCACCAGCTCCAGGTACACAGATGACAATAAGTATTTGCAGATTATCTGAACAATGGAAAATCTTTTCCAGTGTTGAAATATTTATACTGTAACCCTAATCAGTTATTTATTTCTGTACCATGCAGTCATCAGGCCTATATCTAAAACTTAAGCATCTACAAATAAATAGCACTATGTTATATGTATTTGGGTTAGAAAGTGGTAGTCAGGGGTTGCTATTGAATGGTCATGGAAGGCCTCCTTGATAAGTTGTCATTTGAGAGATTTGAGTGAATAATTTCTGCTAGGCACTTCAATATCTGGGAGCAGAGCATGCCAGTGAGAGCATCAGCTAAAGTAATATCCTGGATATGGATAAAATGTTTGGCCTGTTAGAAGAATGAAAAGGCCAATGGGGCTGAAATAAAAGCATCAGTAAGGGAAGAAGTATTAACAGAATGAGCTGACATCAGATCAGAGAGGTAGCCAGAAGTCAAAGAGAGATTGTCAGGAGATTGCAGACTGCTAATGCCAGGAGTTCAAAGGGGGAGATCAATGCATATTGAGGGATAATACACAGAAAGCTACTAGCATAACACTGGCGACCAGCAGGCACTGTGCATAGTGTTTATTGCTATTATTTTTAATTATTATTTTTTTTTTTGAGATAGACTCTTGCTCTGTTGCCCAGGCTGGGGTACAGTGGTATGATTTCTGCTCACTGCAATCTCTGCCTCCCAGGTTCAAGCAATTCTCCTGCCTCAGCCACCCAAGTAGCTGGGATTACAGGTAACTGCCACCACGCCTGGCTAATTTTTTTTGGTATTTTTTAGTAGAGATGAGGTTTCACCATGTTGGCCAGGCTGGTCTCGACCTCCCGACCTCAAGTGATCCACCTGCCATGGCCTCTCAAAGTGCTGGGATTACAGGCATGATCCCAGCCTATTTTTAGTATTAATAATAACTTGTGAGAGTGGTACAAAGAATTCTTAAGATACCTTTGACCCAGATTTCCCAAATGTTTACTTTTTACTGTATTTGCTATGTAGGTATTTTTTTTTCTCCTGAACTGTTTAAGAGTAAGTTGTGGCCTGGTGCACTGGTTCACAGCTGTAATCCCATCGTTTTGGGAGGTTGAGGCAGGCAGATCACTTGAGGTCCGGAGTTTGAGAACAGCTGGTCAATATGGCGAAACCCCATCTCTACTAAAAACACAAAAATTAGTCAGGCATGTGTGGTGGCATGTGCCTGTAGTTCCAGCTACTCAGGAGGCTGAGGCAGGAGAATTGTTTGAACCCAGAAGCCAGAGGATGCAGTGAGCTGAGATAGCATCACTGCACTTTAGCATGCGTGACTGAAAAAGACTCTGTCTCAAAAAAGCAAAAAACAAAAAAACAGTAACTTGCAGAAATTATGGCATTATACCCCTAATACTCAGTGCATCTTCCTCAAAATGAGAAATTATCTTATAAGACCAAAATACAATAATCAAAATCTGGAAATTAACTTTTTTTTTTTTCTTTTTTTTCGAGATGGAGTCTTGCTCTGTTACCCAGGCTGGAGTGCAGTGGCGCAATCTCGGCTCACTGCAACCTCTGTTTCCTGGACTCAGGTGATCCTCCTGCCTCAGCTTCCCGAGTGTAGCTGGGACTATAGGCATGTGCCACCGTGCCGGGCTAATTTTTTTGTATTTTTGGTAGAGACGGGGTTTCACCATATTGCCCATGCTGGTCTTGAACTCCTGACCTTAAGCGATCCACCCACCTCATCCTCCCAAAGTGCTGAGATTACAGGCGTGAGCCACAGTACCCGCCTGAAATTAACGTTTATGCCACGTTATTATCTAATCTACAGACCTTATTTGGATTTTGTCATTTGTCTCTGTTATGTCCTTTACAGGAAAAGAAAATCCAAGATGATACATTATAATAGCTGTCACATCTCTTTAGTCTCCTATAATCTGGAACAATTTCTGAATCTTTTTTTTATTTCATGACACTGACATTTTTGAATACTACAGACAGATAAGTTATTTTGTAGACTATCTCTCAACTTAGATTTGTTTCCTCCTCATGATTAGATTCAGGTTATACACTCTTGGCAAGGACGGCATAGATGGGTGGCTGAGTTCTCCGTGCATCCTGTCCTGCACAATGCTGCTGCTTAGTCTGATTTCTGTCAACATTATCTTTGATCATTTGCCTAAGTGCTGTGTGCCAGGTTTTTCTACTGTAAATACACTATTTGTATATTTGTAACTAGTAAACATGTGGCTGAGAGACACTTTTAGACTAAGTATCCTGTTGTCAAACTTTTCCCACTAGTCTCAGCATCCACTGATAATTCTGGACTGAATTGGTTATTGGTGGTTACTAAATGGTAACTTTTGTAATCTCATCTTTCCTTCTATATTCATTCATTGGCATTCTTCTGTAAGGAAGAGCTTTCCTTTCTCCCTTATTTGTATAGGTGTGGAACCATGAATACTTACTGATTTCATAGGTTATAATCCTTTACTATTATTTATTTTGATGCTCAGATTATCCCAGATTTGGACAGTAGTAGCCCTTACAAGCTGTTTCCTGTGTCTTTTGACCTGTCTCCATCATTCTTTGATCACTTCCTTTTTTCCGGTCTAGAGGATGTTACACAATTGTCTGGTACTTTTTCTGCCCCTGTCCTGCAACCAGCCATTTCTCCAAAGAGTTCTTTGGCCATATATGTACTTATTAAAATATCTTTTTCTTTGTTCCTCCCTCCCCCAAATAAAAGATTATTTGATACCTTTCGTTGAATCGATTCCCCCAACTGCAAATAATGTACCAACAGTTGACTTCCTAGGTTTTGTCCGAGGACTCTGTAACATGGGTCGTCTCTCTGGTAATAAATGGTACTTCATTGCTTCCATAATGAGTTTCTGACATTCTATATCATCCCGAAAAAGTGCATTATTTTCCATGTCTGCCAGGAACTAGAAAAGAATGGCGGTGGGTAGGTATACTGAATGACTAAGAAAATGGTAGGATTTACAGAAAAAAATGACATAATTATCAAACGGATTTTTACATATTTTTTAAAAATTCAAGCATAGGCACATATTTTTAACTAAAATATGCAACATTTACAAGATCTACATTTTAAATTTCATTGAAAAAACATGAGTAGCATAAATGGTATACTCTAAAATCTCAGTACTGTAGTGCTTATCTCTGGGTAGTAGGAATACTGGTGCTTTTTAAATAAAGTTTTTTTTTTACTACTTTTCTATAATTTCCAGATTTTCTAAAATAAATAATTTTACTATTAAAATCAGAACTAATTCTAATGGAAGAATAATTATAAGTGGGAGTTGACTAATTATGCTGCGTTAACTTTGCTAAACAATGTCCAACTAACAACTGTAAAAGCAAAAGTTACCAATTTCTAAAGGGACAAAGAACCCCAAACAGTGATTGGTCTAAAAACATTAAAATCCCTTTTGTGTCACTGAATCCAACTTTATATATTTATATAACACAAACACAATTTTTATATGTTTATATAGCACACATACGATTACACCTTGTCTTTTAAAAAATGATAGTCTTTTAAAAAATAAAATGAAAATACGATCACATTGGAAATTAAATAAAACAAAAAAAATTTAAAATCTTTTCCTTTTGTGCTTGGTTCTCCATCCCCCCTCCCCATCCTGCAATTCTTCCCTGCCTTATAAAAACAACCTGGTGTGCAGCCTTTCATATTTTCTTCATATTTATGCAATCCTCTGCTGACATAATTCTCATACATTTATATGTATAACATATATAAATACATGTAGTAATTTTTACAGTTTTTTCTTTTAGTAATTGTTTTATTATATGCTTTGCTGCATCTTACCATCTTTACTCAATATTATCTCACGAAAATTCCTCCAGGTCTTCTGAAAAGGTATAGTTCTGATCTATTCTTTTTTTTTTGAGACGGAGTCTTGCTCTGTCGCCCAGGCTGGAGTGCAGTGGCACGATCTTGGCTCACTGCAAGCTCTGCCTCCCAGGTTCACGCCATTCTCCTACTTCAGCCTCCCAAGTAGCTGGGACTAGAGGCGCCCGCCACCACATCCAGCTAATTTTTTGTATTTTTAGTAGAGACGGGGTTTCACTGTGTTAGCTGGGATGGTCTCGATCTCCTGACCTCGTGATCCGCCCACCTCAGCCTCCCAAAGTGCTGGGATTACAGGCATGAGCCACCGCGCCCGGCCTGATCTATTCTTTTTAATAACTGAATAATACTCTATAGTATATAGATATGCTAATTTTTTAGCCATTTCCTTATTACGGACATTAACTTTGTTGCAGTATGTACATACATATATTCATATGTATATATACATACATGCATATGTAAATATACTTTTTCCTGCTACTAAAAACAAGTCCAGTACAAAAGTCCTTATGATTAATTTTTACCTTTATAGGATAGATTTCTAAGAATTGAATTGATTCCAGGTGGGTCAAAGTATATATGTATGTATGTATGCATGTGTGTGCACATATATGTGTATCTGTGTGTGTCTATGTGTATGATCAATGTTGTCAGATTATTTTCCAGAGTGGCTCACATTCCATTATAGTCATGTATAATAAAGTGGCTCACATTCCATTTTATATATAGAGAACCATGTATACATATATATATCTAGAGAGAGAGAGCGCGCCCTATACATATAGCCATGTATATAGCCATATATATGTATATATGGCCATATATATGTGTGTCTATATATAGAGACAGCCATGTATAGCAAAGTAGCTCACATTCCATTATAGCCATATATAAGAGCACAAGACCACAACATTCCTGCCAGGAATAAGTGTTTTAGCTCTTTTTGTTAATGATATCACATTTTCCCTTTAATTTGAATTTTTCTGATAAGTGAATATAAGCATTTAAAAATATTTTGACCATTTGTACTTTTTTCTTCCTTTATCTGCCTCCTTTTGTCTACTATCTTTTGATTAAAAATTTGTAAGAGTTCCTTATAATACACACACTAATCCTTTATTTTTCAACTGTATTTTTCTAGATTTTTAATCATTTGTCTATTAAGGTTGTTTCATAATACTTTTGCTATTCAAATAATTTTTCATTTTTAGGTCATCAAATATGTGTCTTTCTTTTCATAGTCCTGCTTCTTAGAAAGTCTTTCTGCTTCAGTTTGTAGATGTAGTCTCCTGGATTATCTGGCAAGATTTTATTGCTTTCTTTCATTTAGGCCAAGGATCCATGTGAAATTCATTTGTTTTGGAATTAATGTTTAAAAAGAGTAAGAGTGGAGGAGCATTTTTATTTTCTTTAAGATCAAGAGCCAGTTCTGTACTACTTATTAAATAACCCCCTTCATTTCCAACTGAATTGATTCTTGGTCATATATTACATTCCATAAATAGATCTCAAGGTATATAAGGTTTGTTTTTTTAATTCTTTATTCTGTTCTATCGATCTATTTGTCTACTCCTATTTCTAAATAGCATATTTTATTACAGTGTCTTTATAGCATATTCTGATACCCGATATTTTTAGGTTTTCCCTCCCTGTTAACTTTCATAGCTTTCTTGGCTATTATTGTGCCTTTATTTTTCATGTAAACTTAAGACAAATTTATCCAGTTTTTTTTTTTATCCTGATTCTCTTGGAATTCTAATAAGAACTTAAATTTATTTATTAATTAAATTTATTAATTTTATTAAGTTTTGGAGAACTGATGTTTTTATATTAAGTCTTTCTGTTCAAGAAGCCTTTCCATTTGTCGTATAGCTTTCTACATATTATACCTTTCTTGATTATACATTTCCTATATATTTTATTATTTTCATTGCTATTGGGAATGGGTTTTAAAAGTTTATTTCATATATGTTTTGCAGGAGAGAAAATCTACTGATTACACTTGTATTAACCTGTTACTTTACCACATTCCCTTATTAAGCTCTATGTGTTATGCAAATAATCATAACTGTCACCAAATAGGGATAGTTGAATATCTTTTTCTAATGTGTATGCCAATTATTTTATTATTGCAATTGCTAAAGCCTTCTAAAGAATGTTAAATAATTAGGATGATAGAGTATCTTGTTTCTGGTTTGAATTGATATGGTTTTAGTGTTTCATTATTTAGGACAATAGTTGCTGTAACATTTAGTCATCTATTTTTATTATATTCAATAAAGATAATATAGATTTTCATAGTTTTTTTTTTTTTCTTTTTTTTTGAGACAGGATGTCTCACTGTTGCCCAGGCTGGAGTGTGGTGGCGCAATCTCAGCTCACTGCAACCTCTGCCTCCCAGGTTCAGGCAATTCTCCTGCCTCAGCCTCCTGAGTAGCTGGGATTACAGGCCTGCAACACCACATCCAGCTAATTTTTGTATTTTTAGTAAAGAAGGGCTTCACCATATTGTCTAGGCTGGTCTTGAGCGCCTGACCTCAAGTGATCCTCCTACCTTGGCCTCCCACAGTGCTGGGATCACAGGCGTGAGCCACCATGCCTCGCCCCTTCATAGGTTTCTTAATGATCATTTCAGTATTCCTGGAAAAAGACCTTTCTGGTCAGAGTGTATACTTTCGATACACTGCGGGTTGTATTTGACTATATATTTCTTTACAATTTTATTGGGGCATATTTTACATGTCCTAATTTATCCATTCCAAGTACACAATTCAGTGATTTGTAGTAAATTACCAAGTTGTGGAACCATTACCATAAAACTGTTCTGAAACATTTTCTTCACCTCAATTACATCCCACATGCCCATTTACTGTTGATCCTCATTCCCGTCTTCTGTCCCAAGCACTAATCTGTCTCTACAGATTTGCTTTTGCTGGACATTTCATATACAGAGAATCACAATATGGAGACTCTGGTGTCTTGCTTCTTTCCCTTAGCATACTTTTGAGACTTGTCCCTGCTGTAGCTACTCGTATCAGTGCTTCATTTCTTTTTATCGCTGAATAATATTCCACTGTCGGTCTACTCCTCATTTTATCTATCCATTCATCAGCTGATAGATGCTTCTTAGGTTGCTTCCAGTTTCAAGCTATTATGGATAAAGCTGCCAAGAACGTTTATGTACAAGTCTTTGTGTGGATATATTTCTCTTGGGTAATTATTACCTAGGAGTAGAATTGCTGGGGCATATGGCAAATTTATGTTTAACTTTTTAAGAAACAACCAAACTTGTTTTCTAAAGTGGCAGCACCACCTTACATTCCCACCAGCATTGTACGAGGGTTCCTGTTTTTGCACATCCTCACCAATTGTTAGTTTGTCTCTATTTTAGCCATTCAGGAAGGTGGAAAATGTGGTTTTATTTTGCATTTTCCTAGTGACTAATGATGTTGATGATATGTTCATGTTTTTATAGAGGAAGAGAGAAACAGTCTCTAAAAAGAGTCACTATAAAAAAGTTGGTGGCATTTGGAAACTAGCACTGCATACCAAAGGCAAAAAAGCCAAAATAAGACATAAGTCCCCTGACCTACACCAGAATTTACATTTTGGTATTAATTACTCCACATTTTTTTCTATGCATACAAAACATAGTTATACTTGTCACAGAAACCATTAGTGAATATGCATAAAGTTGGCTCATTAAGGTTAATTTTAATGTTTATGTTAATTCTATTATATACAATTACTTTAGTCGTTTCTAAATAAAAATATGTGAAAAAAATGTAGAAAGTAAACTCTTGGGAGACTCAATAGTAACTGCAATTTGAAGCAAAGTATATTTCCTAATATACAGATAGTATATATAAATTATGAATAAGTAGGATTAATTACATTTGAATTAAAAAAGTCATTAATCTAAGTATCAGATTAATCAAATGGAAGGAACCAGATATCATTTAGAAAATTATTCAGAAGACACTGAGAGAAAACTACAAAATATATACTCTCATGTACTCTGCATTTTTGGTGAATACTAAATGCCTT